ATCAGCAGAGAGAAACCAGCACAGGTGAGGCACAACTCATCTCATGCTAAAGCCCATGTCTGAAACAGGTGAGGAGAGAAATCCCGAACAGTTCTTTGTTCTGTTCATCAGCTGTGCAGGGAGACAGGAAGGCCAAGCTCTGACAGAGAGAGAGAGGATGCTTTGTGCACATATAGAGTCAGGTGGGCTGAATGCAAACCCCTGTGACTGTGACAGGATTCTGATACCCCCCAACAATAAATATAGGTCATAAATCAATATATCCTCAGCTTGCAGGCATCAGTCTTCAAAGGCCTCCGAGCTGTTGGAGCGATTGTTTTTGCACGTACACATTACAGTGACTCCTTCTAAAAGTCACTGCTCCTACCAATGGCTGTGTCACAATGCAGGGACACTGTCCTGCTTTACACAAGTGACACAGACCAAAGCTCTGCCCTTAGGTAGGACAGCAAACTCCTGTCAGTGCTGCTGGATTAGGACACTGTGTCCACATGCTGCACCACACGTTTGTCAGTGCACAAGAGACACAGGATATGCACAGAGCCAACGCTCAGTTCAGGCTGAGGAGAGAGCAGATAAAGAGCCTTTCATTTAACTGCCTCAGATTGACATATGTGGCAACTGTGCTCCCAAATTTGCATTCTCAAGAACTAAACCAAAGATTTGTTATTCTACCTTGAAAATAAGAACACACTGCAACAGAAATGTACGTCCTTTATTAACAACTTTTCAAAATAAATCTGAAGAAAAAAAGTCTTTGGTGACACTATCTATAAAACCAACCTATCTTAGATGGTAAACCTATGATGGTATACAGGTTAATGAAGTAAACCAAATTATATGGCTTTTAAATTTCTCATTCTCTCTTTTTCTCTCATTCACACATTTGCTTTAGGTTTAATTGCACCATGTTGTCAATAGTCAAACAAAGAGGGAGAAACACTTTAAAAAAGATGTGGCAGCACTATGAAAACATTGGTAATGCATTAGAAAATTTTTCTCAAAAATGTACATTTTATACAAAATAAGATTGTATTTTTGTTTGCCTTTTTGCTTTACATTTGCCGACCTAAGAATTCCCAGTTCAGGTTTCCATTCTCATAATCCAAACACTATACATATTTTCTCTCAAAATAAATATACAGAATTATGTACAAGGTCGCAAGGCCCATTGGATCATCACTAACCACTGTGAAATAATCACTAAAAACATTGTGAAAGAATGGGAGGGAGCATCTCAAAGCATCTGATGAGTCCCATACCCACCCAGCCCCCCAGTTTAACCCTTGCCTAATTTAACTCCCTCTAATTTAATTCCAACTCAAAAAATGTGTGTCAAGACAGTTAAAATTGTGGTATAAAGGCCAGCTTGACTTAGTTTTAAACAAGGGTGAGATGTACAAAATTTTGGAAGATGCAATTTTATTTCCAGCAGACACCAGCCAAGACTCTGCGTGGGGCAGGTCCCTCCTTGGAAGACCACAGGTGCATCCTGTGAAATCCCACTACAGCCCAGGGAAATGGCTCTGTCGGGCTGATGCCCTTGAAGGCCACATTTCCAGAACAGACATCAGAGCCCGCCTGGGAATGGAAAAAAAAAACAAAAACAAAAGAGCAGACAACCAAACCACCCTCTGCTGTAAGAGGATGTTTAAGTGGAGGAATTAACAAATTGTTGTCGATGGATAACAGATGTTATGGTATTCCTTTAGTTTCAGTAGGGGAGCGCAAAAGAGGAGGACACAACGTTGTACACTGGGCATGTAAAGATTTTTAAAAAATCTGAGTCTACATCTAGCTCTTTCTTTCATTGCTTCAAATGATGACTTCCATTCTCCAAATGACATCTTTTGGTAAATGAGCTATTTTAAAAGGCGCTCATTGGCGAAAAATTAATTTCTTTGCCAAAATTGGCTCTAAAAGAAAAATTGCAACCTGAAATTGATCAAATCCATGATGTTTTCCAATGGAAAAGATCAAAGTGCTCAACAGCCATGCATTAGCACACCAGTGTGTTCACTATGAAATTATTACAAAGCTTAAACATTCACATCTAGAAAAAGGTATGGTAATCATTAGAGATTTTCACAAAATAGAAAGAGGGCAAATAAAATCTTGTGCAGGCCCAAGGGACTGCAAGGAGTGCCAGGCACTTTCTATCTTGGAAGTTTGCCCCTATTTTTGTGTCACATTTTTCTCATGAAACCTTTCTCCAGCAATAGATCTCATTCAATTATAACTGGGAACGGTTTCTAATTTTTTTTTTTTACCTTTAATAAATTCAATTAAAAATTCATCAGTTCTCCCAAACTCTAATCCCTACTTCTATTCTGTTTTAATGGCATGGATCTATTCACATTCATCCACCCATCTCACCCCTGATTAAATTAAGGTCAGTAACCTTTACAAAAGGCCACATGCGTAACACTCAGTCAAGTCATCAGGCATTCAAGTACCTGTAAAGTAAAGGCTAACATAGCCTGCTGTTAATGAAAAATAATAATAAAAAAAACCTACAAAAGGAGCAACAAGGAATGAACCTTGTTTCAGCACCATCTGAATTGGGAGAGGAGAAAAAAAAGAATAAAGAACCATTAACTTGCACCTAGGACATGACAGAAGAGTGATTTCATTCACAAAGGAAACAACACAGCTCTGTCCAACACAGGTGGACGTGGGAGGCTTTGCCTGCTGTTCTCAGGAGCACTGGCCAGCGATGGCCACAGTGAGGGTAACACACAGAGTCTCTGAGCTGGGTCTGTGTCCAGCCCTTCCCCTGCATCCCGGGGCTGTGGGCACGGAGAGCGACGGCTGTGAGGGACATTCCTTCCCAGCACGACGGCTGCGCCCGGGCAACACACGCAAAGGGAAATGCTCCTACCTATCCTCATCCCTCTGGAGCTAAGCCTTCCATTGTCACTTGCTTAATTAGCAATCAGTAAACACAAGGGGCCTCGAATCACACTGAGAGTGAACTTTAGCACAGTCTCTTTCAGCCACCCCAAAAAGAGATGATAACAGAATGTTGAACAGCTTAAAAGCTTGGCCTGACTTGCTGCACTCCAAAAATAGTTACTTACTCTCTTTCTAACTGAAACTCCAACCCAAATGGCATTTACTAAAACCCAAGCAGAACTGTAGTTTTGTTTTAGTACGGGTCTCTCTTGTTGGCTACAGACCAGTGACTGCTTCCCAGAGGTGCAGATGCTCTGGTGGACATGGGTGCTCACTCACCTGCACATGGCACATGAGCAAAACATAAGCCCTGAAAGCCTCATCCAGTGTTTGGCACATTCTCCAAAAAGGGAGTTTAAGGAGGTCTGTTCCAGTCCTTGAAGGAGCTACCTGATCTCCAAGTCATGGGAGCCACTGAGCCTTTCACTCTGGGAAATAGAATCAGTGGATTTCACCTTCCCATCCAGAACACCACACACAAACCTGAGAGCACAGGGAAGTGAGGTTCAGATTCTCACAAGATGTGGGCAGCTGAATTAGCAGCTCACCCAAACACAGACTGAAATATATCCTGCTCCCCTTCCCTCCCTGGCCTTGCCTACCTACTGCTGCCTCTTTACATTTCTCTCCACATGCTGATTTAACTCTCTAAATTGGCATTAGAAAAAGCCAATAAATCACTGGACAGTTTTCCGTGAAAGCTGAATGGGCTCACAGAAGCATCTGGTGGCCACCACCATGGCAGAAGGTATCAGGTGAGACTGCATGGCCAGGGAGTGGGAGAGCAATGGGAATTGAGGGAAAAGTGGCACCTCTTCCTTTCAGCAACTTAAGTCACTGCAGTCTCATATGTTTTGGCAGATTCCTTTAAAGATTTGGTTCAGATTTACAAGGGTATGTAGCGACAGGTCAAGGGGTAATGGTTTTCAACTGAAAGAAGGTAGATTCAGATCAGGTATTAGGAAGAAATTCTTTACTGTGAGGGTGGTGAGGCACTGGAACAGGTTGCACAGAACACCCTGGAGGTGTCCAAAGCCAGGCTGGATGAGGCTCTGAGCAACCTGGTCTAGTGGAAGATGTCCCTGCCCATGGCAGGGGGATTGGAACCAAATGATTTTCAATATCCTTTCCAACTCAAATCATTCTATGATTCTAAAACAAAATGCCAGGAACCTGATGGTCCTGTCCTACCTTGATGTGCTCTGTTTAAATACTGCAATACATATGCAAAGCAAAGCACCCTCTGCAAGTCTTCACATGTCAGGTTGCATTCAACATTTAGCAACATGTACTTTTCACTTTGACAGCAACTTTCTGTTTAGGGATAATAATCTTACCAGCAAGAGAAATTATTTGAGCTTCACAGCATTCTCTCTACAATCAGTAACTATTACTTTTACAAAGAGGAAATTGAGGCATGCCCTGGTTATGTGAGTTGCTTAAAGCTGCATATTAAATAGGTGCCTGAGCCTGAAGGAAACAGGTGGTCATTCTGGTCCAATTACTCTTCATCCCTACTAGATGGGACTGGTAGTGACTGAAGAGTCTCTACTCTTCATCCCTGCTACCAGACTGCCTGCTTACAAAGAAGTGAGGTATAGAAAGGCTTGCTGGTCTTCTGGGCATCAGCACTAAACCCTCTTGCTGTGACTTAACAGAGCTCCTCTTGGGGTGGAGATAATTACAGAGCACCCCAAAATGTGAGGGTTTGAAACATTTTTAAAGTGCTTATTTTCTTAGCAAACTGGAATGGCATCTTCCTGACCCAAATCACTGCTTCTGTTTTCACTCTTCAATGTAAAGAAACACATAAATAAACAAAGGACTACAAAAAATAAACAACTGGAATATTTAAATTTAAAAACACTTATATTTGAAATGCTAAAACCATTTTGGAGCATGAGCAGCACTCATCTTTCAGAAGCAGGTTTTTTGTATGAGTTACCCTGCCCCAAGCATGCCTGGGAACACCACTGGTGCCAGGACCCAGTGTCTGACCATATGCTTTACTTCAGGTGTCAGACCTCCATGAGGGAATGTTTCTATATATTTGCACTTCCAAAAAAAAAAAAAAAAAACGGAAAAAAGAGAAGCCCATGCTTTGATGTCAAATAAGCCAGTTTCAGGCCAAATTCCTGCACTGCAAGCACCAAAGTGCTTTCTTGCTTTCCATCACCACTCCTTTTACCCTCAGAACAAATCTACTTCTGGATGTTTAGCTGCCAAGAGGCACCACTGCCTGCAGCAGGGACTTGCACAGGCTCTGGGTGTTCCACAGGACCACCATGCCTGGGGTGCCGTGCCATCCATGGGCAGGGACACTCAGGTGTGCCTCCCTGAGCACAACACACGGCCCTGCAGCCCTGCTGTGCACGTGTGCCCCTGTGCTCCATGTCATGCTCCTCCACAATAATGCTTCTCTCTCCCTTCAAGGCAAGGCTGATTGCCTTTAAAACAGAGGTCCCCAACCAGAAGGATCTGCCCTCTCATTTGGCTCCTTGGAGATTCTCTAGTTTTCCAGCTGTCCAAAGGATTTCAGCTACAGGGGCTGCTACTGGCTTGGGGAAAACTGGAAAAAAAAGTTGGTAGTAAACAAGAAAGATTAATACTTTAGTTCTGTCCTGTTTGTGCTCAGTTTGTTTCTGAACCTGCTGCATTTTCCCCAGTGAGATTCCAGCGTTTAACTGCGCAGGGAAAAAGGAATGAAAATTGCATTGACAATCAAATGCATAAAAGAAAGAAATGGCAGCTCTGAAATATTCACAACCAACACAATTTTGATTAAAGAAAGAACTCTGTTTTTAATAGGGTTTTTTTTTGATCATTAAAAAAGTTTAAACCTGCATAGCAATCATTTCAAAAATAATTATTTAATGTTCCATAATGAAACTGTACACGACCTAGTCCCAGCGACAGCAGCGTGCCGGCGGTTCGGCGCGGAGCCGCGGCCGGCGGGGTCGGGCGCTCGCTGCCGGCGCACAGTCCGGCTCCCTTGGCAGCGGCCTCAGAGTCGTTCAATGTCTCGGTACTTCTTCCTCAGGATGGAGACCTGGTCTTTAAAGAGGACAGGGTCGAGCCTCATCTGCGAGTGGATCAGCGGCATATAGCCAAACCAGCTGGCAAAAGTGTTCATGCAGCTCTGCCGCTGGGCAAAGTGGTCGGGGTCGGCCCAGCGCGAGGCCCGGGACGTCTGTGAGGAGAGGAGAGCAGAGATCAGGGTCACCCTTGGCACACACGATGGTGGGAATGGAGGGAATGGTGGGAATGGTGGGAATGGAGGGAATGGCGAGAATGAATGGCGGGAGCTGGGCCAGGCATTCACCATGGCGCCCCGCCGTGCCAGGGCTCCGGGACACGCGGTTCTGTGGCGGCTGGAACCTGGCTAGGGGGCTCAAAGAGGGCAAGAACACCCTGCCCACAGCAGATCCAGCAGTGCTGAGCTGGACACCCCTGACTTCCCAAAGACAGCAGAGGACAGGGCAGTGTGGAAACATGAGTTTCACCCTGAGCCAGCCCGTGGAACACAAGAGCCACAAGCAGCACTCCAAAATCTTGCCAGCACTCTATTTCACCTTATCCCCCACTCTTCTTTCCTTCAAACCCTCCAGCTATTTCAGTGACACAACAAGTTCTTAAAAACCACCAGGAAAAAACAGAAAGCCATTGCTTTCCAGCAGAGGTGCACACCCAAGGCCAGGCCAGTTGCTGCCCATGGTCTTCATCCATAGAAAGAACAACTATTCATGGTCAAACCTGAACTTTTGCAGTTCAGATCTGCAGGAATTTACAGACAAGTAATTTCAACCAGCTTGCAACTTAGATGGTCTTATGTGCTTGGCATTACTCTTGTGCGTAGTGCCCTGCAGTGAAAAGCAAGGTGCTTCCAGGAATCCCTCTGGCCAAGTCCAGTGCATCAGCACTGTCTCACAGACTCAAAAAATGGAGTCCCACACTACATCATATTTAAGTCTGACCCAAGGAAAACACCATGGTCTTTGACTGCATACATGCAAAATATTCTGGCATGATTTTCCAAAGTTCAGGGCAGCTGTAATCCCCGTGGAAGTCCATTGAAACTCAGCAGCTCTGGAAAAAAAAGGCCCTAGCAGCTTTAAAGCTGCTATTATTCATTGTCTGTACCTAAAGAACATTTATAAACATAATAAAGCTATTATTTAAGATAAAGTATGAATGTTGAGAACCTAGGGTTTTTTTGTGCCACTTCCCATGCATCTCTCTATAGCACTTATGTTTCCACTATACTTTAATAACAAATATAAATTGATAAAATCAAAGGATGTAAATTAAAACATGAAGAAGTAGGTAAAGTCAGGGACTTGCCAAATGACTGTGATAAGGCCTGTCCAGTTCAGCTCAAGTGGTAGATTATAATGTGCATTGATTGCAGCCTCCTGATTATACAGAGCCACTAAAGAGCCAGTAAAAGCTTGTTGCTAGAGGATTATAGCAGGTATTTTGGCCATTAACACTGAATTTCCATATGACTATTCATCTCTGTCACAACAGTGAGGTTATGTTAATTTTTTATTTGTCTTTCAAGGAATTATGAACATGGTCCATTACATTTCCCAAAGCTGCAGGAACAACTTGTCTGTAGGAGAGAGTTATAGTTCATGGCTGACTCGCGTCACCCGTGCTGTAAGATGAAAAATGAATGCTCCATCTTTGCCAAACAGCCAAAGCACAGCCCTGTGGAGAGGTGAGGCTGAAGCTGGAAGCAATAGGGACTTTCTGGATGGGACCTTCTTGTTCACAGAAGGTCTCCTGGGCACCCAGACGAGTCAGAACTGCTGAATGCTACCAATGCTACCTCAGGTACCAGCACAGTGACACAGAGATAATGCAGTTTACAAACTGGCATGGCAACTCCCCAGTCAAAGGTCTGAGTAGTGCTACCAGGGGAAAATGGGAGGGGAAAATCGAGGGTCCTTGTTTCACCTGCCCCCCAGTAATGGTGGTGCTGTTTGCACTGAGATCACTGACACCATGGCAGCACAGAGGGGAGGCTGCTCAGGACTCCCTATTCCCCTCATTGCCCTCTCACAGAGGGTAGGAGGACAAGTGTCCCCACACCACCATGTATCCCTGTTACTAGAGGTACTTCTGCAAGGACAGAAGGCTTATCCAGTATGTGGAAGAGGACCTAAAACAAGCACTTCATGGCTGCTAATGAGTGATGGCATGACTGTGGGATAAAATGTTCCCTGTGGGGAAAAAACACTTGCATATCACAAATTATCTCTGTTGTGACAGTTCAGTGTCAGTGCTTGAATCACACTATATAATTTAAAATAGCACAGGGACAGCCTGGTACATTATATTAATCAATAATAATAAAAAATAGAAAATCTTTCTAGAATTTACTTATGCTTCTAGCATTCCATGACCATGTGACTAGGTCTTGGGTCTAGAATACTTAGAAAATTAGGGTTTAACTGGAATTCAGTCACCATAATCATCAGTTTCAAGAGTTTGGGATCACCAGGAATAACATCATGTCAGAAAACTATGAAGGGAAACAGCATTCTCAGTAGCTGTTTGCTGCTTTGCTGGTTTTCTTTTTTCTTCATTATAATAAGCATATCTAAAGTCTATTCACAGTTCTGCTAAACTAGAAACTGCAAAAATATTTGACAGAATTGTACCACTCTGTAAGCTTAACCTAGAAGTGAACCTGTTACATTATCAATACATCCCAACTGCTGAAACATGCTGTGATTACATACCTGTCCCATCATGGTCTCCTTATACTGTTTTTTCTGTGTTACTTTGATTGGAGGCAATTTTGTCACAGCTGACACCAAAAAATTCATTAGAATGTCCTCACAATTGGCCAGTTGGTCCACCATATTCTTTAGGCTGGCAGGCAGGTAATGAGTGTACAGGTAGTGATAATATCTGAAAACCAACAGCAGTGTTATTAATACAAGTCACTGGGCTTTCAGGGATCCAGGACATTTCTATCTCAGTTGAAACCCAAGTTTTGTACTCATCTCCCCATATAGCACTTCCTTTCTTTGGTCTCACCCTCCAACAAGAAGGGAAAACAAATCAGTTTCTCATCAGGACTGTAAACAGCGCTAAAGGAGAAAGAGAACATGTAACCTTTTCTGCAACCACGTTGAAGGAAACAATGTGGGCCTAAGTACCAAGATAATGGACAAGGAGGAAGGAGAGCCCCACTGTGCTTCAATGTGATAGACAACACTGATGAATCCATCCTCCCTATTTTCTTCCCAAACTGTTCAGTTGGAAAGAACTTGCATTAAAACTGCCCTACTACTGTTCTCATGGTTGAAATTATTCTTCTTTGGGTCTGTATCATCCCCTGTGGCCTGTCATCTCCTTAGTGGGGGTGTGGATTAGAGATTCCAGAATTTTATTTTTCTTTAAATGTAGAGAGGACCTTGGTCTGCTGAAGTTCTAACAGCATAGGTTTTCTCCAACATGCTGCAATATGCTGAACTGTCACATGCCCATTGTACTACATTTCTAGAGTAGCCAGAAGACTTTGCAGTCTGTAGCTGTCAGCCAACACATACCCAGAGCTGGTCTGGAAGTAACCTCCTTTCTGCTATGCTACAGGCCATTCAGCCAAGCAGCTTAATGAATTTGGGAACTCTTTGAAGTATGTAATTCCTGATGTTAAAAAGAGCAGTCCGACTGCCTCAAAACACAAGTGACTTCAAAGAGACCCAACAAGTGCAGTAATGATTACCAGATCCCCAGAGCTCAACCAAGAACTTAAATTATTACCCCATAAAAAGTAGACCCACTTACTATCTTTTTTCCCCCTCCCCAGAAGAATGTTCTTCACACCCCACCCCCTCTTTACTATTATGTTTCATATAGAAAGAAGAAGGATAGCAGATGCTCTTGATTCTTACTTGTGGTAAATAGCAGCTCCTGTCAATACCATGGAATAGTCATTAGTCCATTTGGAGGTATACCCCCACCTTTCCTTAGTGTTGTCCCAGAAGTGACTGCGTGCAGGATAGCCTACAATCCTCTCTGGAAAGCTCTGCCAAACTGTAAAGGCAAAATCCACCTGTGGACAAAGGTACAGGCCAAATGAATACTGAAACTGTTTCAACAAATGTCAACAAAACAAAATACAACCTTGCCACTAATTCGCAGTTCAAAATCTTGGAACTGTTGCAAAACAGTAATTCTGTGTATTCATCAGTAAATTAAACTGACTGCTTGACATTTTGCCCTATAATTATGCACATTTTAATGGTTCCTGTTAAAGGGAGTCTAGAGCATCACAGCATTACATTAACATTTTCAAGCTTGCCCTTTACATATCAAACCTTTTCAAGTTACAGAAAGAATGGGTGTAGGTGCATGTATTTATACCTTGATGCAACACCAAGGGGTAATGGCCATGTGGTAAACTGAAATTTCTGCACATCTTCATGCATTGCACCTACCATTATAATCACTGTTAACACAGAGCTTGGAAAATCAGGAGTCAAGCACTTTAAATGGTAAAGGTGGCTCAGTGAAAATAAAACAGTCAGTGTGGAGTCCTTTTATATTTTCTGTTTTGAGCCTTCTGAAGACCATGTCAGTCATACTTTCAAGACTGTCAATATGACCAAAAAGGTTCAAGATATAGCTTAATAAAGAGGAAGATAAAATTCCCATTTAGTTAAATTGCATAGGGAGCCCAAATGTTATGAAAAATGCTTTATATTCTATGAGACACAAGACTATATCAAATGCTCAAATGCTGCCAATGGCATTTTTTAATTTTATTGCCTTGCTGTAGCTACTCTAATAACTCAAATCTCTGAGAATTGAGAAGTGACAGGACATTGCTACCCCATGATCCTACCAAACAAAATCTAGTGATAATAGGAAAGGGATGATCTGGGTAGTTTGCAAAAGGATTGTCAGCCTGATATTTGACAAGAGTTTGGTAAAAATATATATGGAAAGATTTTATCAATGGTTGGCAGTCCCCACCCTTCAACTTAGATTTTGGAGCTCAAGCTAGACTGAAATTTTTTAAGAGTTATACACAATTCTTATTGTTCTATTCAAACCCAAAAAAAGAGGGCTTTGTTTCTGCACTGCACATTAGGCTCCCCTCAGTACCAGAGGGACCTAAAACTTCACTCAACAGTGTTTGAAAAACCTTCCAAGAATGCAGTCAAAGTTAAGGGTGTAGAGGTTAGGTAAAGAATAGCTGCTCTGAGAACAGTCCCATTTTGTGTTGATTACTGTCAGATTTCTCACATTTACAGTGTTTTTATGAAACAGAAGAGTCGCACATGGGCTGAAATACAAAGTTAGGGCCTGGTTATTTTCTTTAAAGTTGTTTCAAGGAATCTGAGGCCAACCAGAAAGACAATGTGCACAAATCAGTTACCGTTGTGATAGTTCTGATCTCATCCAAATCAATACCACATGAAAGAACTGAAGGGTTTTTTTCCCTATAAAGGCCTTTCCCATAAAACGTGACATCTGTTTTCTTTACAGAAGTCTGAGAATCTCAAACTTAAATAAATAATAAAATTGCTGCACCCAATGCCCTCTCTTGTGCTTTCAAGTATCTGCCCTTGCACTAGGGAGATGCAGTAAAGCAATCATCCTAAGAGAAAACTCCCTTTATTAGAAAAGCCTCTCAGGTCTCATCCTAAGTAATTTCCAGCAGCACTGCCACTCTTGGCTGATCACCAGGAAAACCCAACCAAGCTAGCAATCTCTTAAACCTCTGGATCATGACCCACACTGATTGCTAATGACTTCCCATGCACACACCCTCTGTGCCTGTGGAACAGCTCCTCTCACAGAACAATCACCCCCCCGTTCTGTTGAGAATGGAAAACCTTTACACACCGGGGTCAGACAGTCCAGAGGATGTGCCTGGTGACTGCTGCTCTCAGTGGGAATGTGATTGTCTTTGACCATGTTTCTAAACTGCCTTTTCTGGGCCTTGTAGCTGTGCCACCACAACCCTCCATGGGTAGTTAGTTTCAAAGGAGATGTCACATCTCACTGGTGTAAGCTGTACCGTGGGGGAAGTGAAGCAATAGAGAGTTCTCTCTTCATGGAGAGCCACCAAGCAGAGCTGCTGGTGGTGGCACCCTGGCAGAGACAGGCTGGAGCTGCAAGGTGGGCTGTAGCAAGAGCTGGTTCCATCTGTAGTACAGGGACCAGGGGGCTCGTAGAGCAAACACCCACTGCACAAACACAGGATCAGCTGTAAGTTGCTCACAGGAGCAACAAAGAAAACAAAGCAAAGTAATAAAGCCACAAAGAAAAGTGTAGGCTGCCTCACACAACAGCAAGTATTTGTGCTTCAAAATGTTTAGGGTAAAACATGGCCAAGTCAAATGAGAAACACTATTTATTTCACATTTCATATGTGTTCCAGAAGCCTGTATGACTCTGAAGTTTGCAGGATGACTAAATACCAGTCAAAACAAAACAAAGCCTCAAATCCTCAGGGAATCCACAGGCTGGATTGCTGTAAATACCCTGTCAGGGCAATGAAGTACCTTAGAAGTATTACCATGATCCCCAGGGCAGCTGAGATGGGACCCTTCATCCTGAGCAACAACCTGCTTAGGAAGTCCAGCTCAAGGAGAAATGTCTTTTATTGCTTTGGGGTTTCTTTGGGCTGTGCAGGGCTTTGCACACAAGTGGTTTGGCAGCGGCCATATTCTTCCTCATCTAGCAGAAACTGCCAAGGTGTAACACTGGCATCAAACAGGTTCAATGTCAACTATTTCTTTCATTTTTGAAGTAAAAGAGGGCTACCAAGGCTATTTCTTCGGCAGTCTAACCACAGCACAACATCTGTACAGGGGACAAGAGCAGTTGCAATCTCATCCATTTAGAACAAATTCAGTGACATCTTAGGGTATATAGCAGTGACTGAAGACTAATGTTACACACTTCTTCACTGACATATAAGTACTGGCAGCATCACTGAAAGATCCTCATCACTGACAGAAATGCATTTTTATGTAGGTGAAGTGGGGAGAGCAGAATGACCATGGACATGGAGGAAAAAAGGGAAAACAAAAGAAAATCGAGTTTTTCAAGCTATTCCCTGGCCATCATTAATAATGTATTTCCCAAATATTGCACTCTATATAAACTGTCATCGGTTTCCCTTGTGGTTCTCAGGAAGAGGTTCTAGAAATCAATACTCATCCCAGTTGTAAAAATTGGTTTTCTACAGTATTTTTCTTTTCTTAGTGCTATCTTGCTCTTGGCACAGACACTCAAGCACCTAAACTAGCAAAGAACTCCAATTTTATGGGCTGACACAATGGAGAAGGAGCGTTCCTCAGTGAAATCTGCACCAGGGTGGCAATGCTGTATTTTGGAGTGATAGCAGTCCCTCTCTGCTGACAAGCCTTCCCCCTCTACTGATACTGTGGGCGGATAAGCCACCCCAGTCACAAAAGTGAGAGCAGAATATTAAAGCTGACTGCTCTCGGCTGCCTACACCCGCCTGCAGCTATGTTACTAAAATAATAAAGAACGGAAGCACCATATGCTAATGATGAGCCAATTAACCAGGGCAAAAGCTCCTCTGATGGCAAGCAGTGGCAGGGCTGCTGAAACAAGTGCAACACCCTAAATCTGAGCAGTGCAGACGGAAATCTTGTAACATTTGCTCACTGGCAATGGCAAGAGCAAACCTGCTGTGCTCAGCTGAGCCCAGGAGCCGAGCAGAGTCCCAGAGACCCGTACTTACCTCAGTGGTTGAAAGCACGGTGTCCTCATCCAGGCTCAGCACTGCGTCTGTCACGATGTTGTCGTAGGGTAGGAAGCGACTGCTCATAACCTGTATGTATTCAAGGCAGGAAGGGGAGGAAATAAAAATCACTTGAAGGACTCATTTCCAAGGCAAATAATTTTATTCCTCACTCTTATTTCCTCTTGTCCGAGGTAGGTGGCATATTTCTGTCTGATGGAAAGGACCCTTCAGCTCAAAAGTGAAGGAGTGTCATTTTTGTCACTCCAGCAGTCAGCCTCTACCTTCTATCTGAGGAGTAATTTCTGAACAGACTTCCCTCTTTGCAGCAGGCTGCTTTTCTTTAGTGACAAACAGCACTGGTCTGTACTGATAATTAGATGTGCCTACAGCTTCTTTGTGGAGGATAATTTCCCTGGTGGCTAGGACTGTCCCTCTGCTCTCCTACAGGGTGTGAGGATCAGAGGTAATGAACGCTGAGAAGGACTTTGCAGCCTTCATAAGCTTGCACAGCTGGGAAACCAAACAGCCCAGGCTGTGTGTGAAGGATGTAATACTACCAGGATGGTGCAACATTCTCCATCAGAAAAGGAGAACATACTAAAGAACTCAGGCTTTTAAAGCTCAAATCAAGCTTTATCTGCATGAAGAATTATATAGGTATTGTAGCATTTTAAGAAGTCACATTCTTAAATGGCCTTCCAGTACCTGCAGGGAGCCTGAAAGAAAGATGGAGAGGGACGTTTTATAAGAGCATGTAGAGACAGCACAAGGGGGAATGAATTCAAACTGACAGAGAGGAGGTTTAGATTAGGTATTAGGAAAAAAATCTTTTCTGTGAGGGTGGTGAGGCACTGTAACAGGTTGCCCAGAGAAATTGTGGATGCCCTATCCCTGGGAGTGCTCAAGGCTGCACAGGGCTCTGAGCAACCTGGTCTAGAGAGAGGTTTCTTGGTCCATGGCAGAGGGGGTGGCACTGGATAGTCTTTAAAGTCCCTTCAACTCACACCATTCTATATATAAAAAACCTATACACAGAATAAGCTTTTTAAAGATACAGCAGACAGTCCTCAAAGTAATAGGAAATAGATGGGAAAGCTGGATCAAAAAGATAACAGCAAGAAATGAAAATCCATATGGTTTCTTTATCACACTAAATAGCACCTTTTGAGAACTCATGAAGAATAACAAGGACACAACAGTTTGTTTCCCTCATTTACTAAGACAAACATCCTGGTTAATTACTAGACTTCTCTACCAATTTACTATGCCAAGAAAAAACTTCAAAGGTCAAGCCCAGTAAGAGGAATCCACTGTACAGAAACAGGGACATGGAGAAGTTTTACACAACCCTCCTAATTGACATGGTCAGTTCTACATCCCCTGCAACCTGTTTGGGAACAGGTCTTTGGAATCTATGCCCTTATTCAGAGAAAGATCTGTCTCTATAATCAAGATGTCCACAATGTCTGTCTGGAGAGCACTCCTTCATCACTGTGATGGCCTTGGTGCAGGGAGGCAGGGCTATGATGAAGAGGTGATGTGCCTGGGGCTGAGGGTTTTGCTCTGCTTACACTAAGATGAAGCAGAGCAAGCAGCAGCAGGAGACCCATATTCTCATCCCTAATATTTTACAGACTGTGCAAAAATTTTAAGTAGTACAGCAGTCAGGACTTGCCACGTATTTTTTAATAGCTAAAGTACCATTTTGTAAAATGGGTGTTATAATATTTGATTTCAAGGGAAGAGTGAAGGTTTGGTAAAGGCAGACCACCATGATCAGCTGCATGGAGTACTGGTGCCTGTCAGCAGGCCTTGGCCAAGTTTGGAGATGAAAAGCAGTTTCTTTGTGCAACTTTTGAACTGTGTTGCTCTGGCTCTGCAAACTCGGTCCAAAAAACCAGCTTTGCACATAAGAAGCCATTTGGCATATGCTGGGATATTAGAGGGAAGAGACTGTCCACTATAAACACATCTTTATGTACTCAGGAGACTCATTTGTAATCTAAACAGTGCCTGGGGCCAATTTCTACAAACATTATAGTACTGGTCAGAGATTTCTCCTCTATCTCACCTCTGCTAGTTTTAGAAAAAGAAAATAAAAACACTCAGAACATTCAAAAGTCTCAGAAATCTCTACAACCTTTCTTGGCCCTGCAGCAATTCTCCTGATACTGTTTATGTGGCTAGCTAAGGTCAGAGCCTTTAGCTGCCAACCTTGCAGGGTCTTGTTAACATGATGAGGAGAAAAGACAAAATTACACATTCAAAATAGGATTGTACAGGCAAAGCAACTAAAAGTTTCCTTTGCCAACACAGAGCTGTGGAGCCAGCTGACAGAGACTGCAGAGAGGTCCAGCTCAAATCTGTTTCAGATTCTAGAAGTAAGAAGTCCTGCTCCTCTCAGGCCTGCATTTGGAAAGGATTCATCCACTTAAGTGAGTCTTTTCTCATCTGATGGCATCTATTTTCACTTTGTGAAAGTACAAACAAGACATGTGTGTTGCACAGCAAGAGATGACATGGTGATTTTATTCCCACACAAGTGTTCCAAGACCCTTCTTTTTTTTTTTTGATGACAGCAGTACCTCTCAAGTACCATAAAAGAAGATACTTTTCAAAGGCAATTTCTCATTTTTAACTCTGCTTTTGAGTCCATAGCTGACTCCCAAGTCTTGCATGTGACTTCTCAGACTCAAGGAGTGCAGCTGCATCACTACTTTCATGCACCTGCAGAGAGATGGAATCTCCAACGATGGGGTCAGCCCTTTCTGCTGCTGGGGTCACATTTCAAAACTGAGTCCCACCTGTGAATCTCCGATTCAGGGCATTAATTGTCATGCTGATGATTTCTGAGTGCACAGGGCCCATGCATGAAACACGAATCTCCAACTAAGCTGGTACAAAAGGCCAAGGAATAGAAGGGAGCTGTCATTTTGTTGGGAACTACAAAGCTTTCACCAAAGGCGCTGCAAAACTAAATTCCCGTCCCATCAGAGAATGCAGGCAACCTTTCACCATGCTCCTCTCCACCTACCTTGCTTTCTCCTTCAATGACTATGACAGGCACAGAAGTGGCAGGCCAGCGGTGTTTGGCTGGGAGGGGTTTATCACAATTCCATAAAACAATAATCTGAAAGAGAATATTGGACCATGATCAAAGACCTTGCGGCAACGCAGCCCATATTCTAAGGTTTCAGATTTCCAGACAGATGTGTTAGATTCAAGTTAGGATTTTCAAAATCCAAAGCAATGTAACAAATCTGCATAAAAATAACACTTCCTACATTGATTTAGCCCAATCCAACTACTTACAATATATATCCTCTCAGGTAAATATAGGATGGGCAGGAACTTGGAAGTCGCTGTCTCAGCCATATGATACAGATGTGACTGATTTACTGTGGCTCTCATTAAAGGCAAAACTGCTTGTGACACTCCACTGCAAGAGGGTGCTCCTACTGAACTCCCCAGGGTTTTATTTAGAGAAGCCAAAATCCTGGCACTAATGAGATTAAAAGTCACAGCAGAAGGAAGGAAGATCACGTAACAGCTCTTGAGGCATAGGCATCCTTGTGCAGTTTGCAGCACACACAATGCTGGTCTTGAAAGTGCGCTCATTACTTTACCTGTCTCATGTAACAATGAGTTTAATTACTATCTCTATTCCACTCCCATTATACTCAGAATTTTTATTTCCCATGCATGTAGGTCATAGACCATAGAAATCTCAGAGGAAAGAAACATCAGAATTGAAACAGAGGGCTGAAACAGGGCTGACTCACAAGGCTCCACATTCCTGGCAGAGTGGTTTGTCTCTGCTGTGACTGACAGCCAAACAGTGCTGCTTACCTGTGCACAGTACTGGGACTTGGCTACAGCAACCAGGAGTTTCAGCACAGGCTGAGATTGGGAAACCAGGGGAGTAACTGCGTGGATAACGGCAGTGAATGTGGAAAGAGGCTTCAGACCTGAAGTGAAGAGAGACATGTTCAGTAAAGACAAAATCGCCCCAGTTATTACAGATTAAAGGACTTTGGGGATGGAAAAAACAATCTGCACTTAATGCAAACCTTGCCAGGTTTTTTTAGGTCATCTCCCTTCCTCTCAGATACCAGATGCTTCAGAGGAGATCACACTTCCCTTTAACTCCCACTCTGCACCTTTAACTTCCACTCTGAAATACCGGACTCCAAAACAATTATTTCCTTTTCTTACTCACTCTTTCCACAGATGTTCTGTTATCTCTCTTTTTCATCCAGTTTGTCCCACAATATTGACATCTAGTTTGTTCAGCCAAATGTCTTTCTCAACACAGGCTCTGTTTTGCTGCCTGGCTCTGGATGCTTGATGTTTTTTTACAGATTATCTCCACAAATTCCAGGAGCTTATTCATTTTCCTCAGTTCCATTACAGCCTGTGTCAGATTTTTGCTCTTTCTGGGTTGATTCCTATCCACATGAATCTTCAATTACATCCTGAGCTGATAATTCTGCTTGCATCCTTGCCTTCCATTTTTAAATTTTTGTCTCGCTATGATTTCCTTTTTTGCCAGGAATAACACATCCTACTGGCGCCTACCCTTCCTTACTGCTCTCAACCTTATCTAAATTCATCAGTGTGGGGGTCATAGTTGTTTTTCATCAGAATTAGCACAGAAACCTTCTTCTCCCTTTTTTAACACAGTAACTGTCAATTTTTAGCAGGTGAGCAGTACAGATCCACACAAGTGGGATGGCAGAGGCTGAGCCAAAAGTAGCAGCAGTCTGATAAGCAGAATCCCTTCAGCCTGGAGGCACATTCGCCTGCAGAACTCATTGTTCAAGCTCTGCTTCAGGAAAAAGCCATGAACCTAAGCTCTATTCCTTCCTTCTAGTGGGATTCATATGAAGACACATGGTATGCAGAGTAAATCCATACCAAGTGTGCACTCCAATAAAAAGTGTCATGGGTAAATTACCACTTTCCCAATTTGCCAAGCAGAAATAAACACAGAAAGCAAAAAGCTATTCCTCTTATGTCCCCTCAGGCCATGAATGGGTCAGCAACTCAGGCATTAATTACCAGCAACTGAAAAGTATGAGGGAACATACTTTTTTTTTTTAAACAATCTCTGCAAGCAAGAGGCACATGATGCATGTTGATGAGTCAGATGTTACAGTCTACAGTGGGCAGTGAAGACTGAGACAGGATAAATGAAAGGCATCATTAACTAGAAATGAATGGTAAGTCACTTGGCACATGCTACTCAAAGACAAAACTTCAAAATTCCACTAGAAATTCCAGATGTTACTACATTATAGCAAGGATTCACTCACCAAGATTAGCATAGTAGTAAGGAAAATCTCCCAGATATGAGGAATATTGTGGCAGTACAAATAACCCTCCAGGATGTTTGTTCCATATTAAGCTGTTACGTGATATGTGCTTAAATATTCTGTCCTGAATAATCTGGAAAACAAGAGAAATAATGATTTTTAAATAGACTGTCATAGTCACTGGTAGAAGCTTCAGGGACTCCAGCTGACTGGAATCATCACCCATTCTGCAAAAAGCTGAGGCACACAAATTACTAGACCCTCCTCCTGCACACTCTGACACCACTTCAGCAGCTCAGACTTTGTGCCATAGGTTTTAGAGCACCTGATTAGTCTCTCTGGACACAGGGACCATACAATTTATTGCTTTTTATAATTCAAGTCAAATATTTTGTCTATTTGAGTATCTTAGCAGTTGTAAGCCTGATTAGTTCATTGTCAGCTTTACTATCCAAAACTCACAGAAGACAATTATTTGAAGATGGCATTAAAAGCCAGATAATATTAGGAGATAAGGAGAGTATTCAAAACCAAAAAGACTTTCAGCAAATCAGGCTGCACTAATTATTAATTTTTTCTTAATTATAAAGGGATATTAGCATTCAGATGCATCACTGATTCCACATCTCAGTTCTGCAACAGTTCCTCATTGGATGAAACATGATCTTTTCCCAACTACTGCCTGACTCTATAGGGTGCCAAAACCAGAGATTCTTAGATTTTTGAGGTCAGATCAGATTGCTATGTCATCTACTTTATCACCTAGAATACCGCAAGCAAAAAAAAGAAAAAATAATACCAGGCCATACAATTAGTGTGTATTTATGAAATTACAGTTGCTTCGCATGGGATGCCTGATTGCAGGAACAAGAGTGGTTCTTACACTGATGGGAAATCCTTTAAACTTCCTGCAAAGGCATAACAAGATTCAGTGGTGGGAATCTCTAATAGGACAAATTCAGCCTCCAAAGAAGGTGCAACTTTCTAAGTGCAGTACACTCTTGAGCCACATATTCTTACAGATTTGCTTTCCCTTGGAGCATTAGAAGTTAGCAGGTCTGGAGATGGAATGCTACAAAGGGCCAGTGGGTGGTGAAGGATGAATTTTCTCCCAAGCTGGCTAAGCAGGAATGCTCTGCCCTCTTCTGCAGCTCATCTTTTGTTATCTTCCAAGGAGGTTTCCATGTATCTGGCAGTTTTTGAAGTGCACAGGGCTTGAGTGCCAAGAACATGTTGGTTGTTCTCACCCAATGTCTCTGGCCTTAACACAGACATATCTGGGTGAAAGTTCATGTCTCTGAAGCTGGACTGAAGTGTAGGAAAATCAAAAAACAAGCAAAGAGACCCACCACAAGAAGAACAAAAGCAGCTGCTGCACTCTAAGCAAGCTAAAATCTCTGTAAACTCCTAAGTTCAGGGACATTTGGTCAATACATGAATAAGTATTGCCACAAGCAGCCATTTTCCTGGAATTTTTGATTGCCATGACAAGAAAAGATTAAAACACCAGTTACATTGTGTTAGACAATCCACTGCTGGTGGCAATACATGTACTGCTAAACTGGGGCAGATGTTAAATGCATGCTTTTCTGAATTTTGCCTACAGCCAATTACCATAGCTAATATGCAGTAATTCACTCACATGAGTAAGTTAATTTAACTTTTTGTTTTGGAATAACAGACTTAGGACTGTAATGCCATCACTGACAAGAATGTATGTGAATATTTCTAGTTGAGAAGTGAGGGTATCAGTTGTCAGATCTCCCACATGGCAGTGGGGATAGGAAAAAACGCAATGACTGTTGTTTACCCAACTGCAAGTTATGCCACTAAACAAGAGCGAACCTGGAAAGTATTTATTTTTGAGTGCTTACCACAAAGCATAAATACTGCAGCTCCTCCCTCTTGCTGTCTCAGAACTGGGGCAGAATTGGACAAGTAGAAGTCTGTAAATTTACCTGGCCAGGAGGTTTACCCAGGCAGAGGAGTTTTCTGGGCACTGGCAGCCAGCAAGGCTGCGGGGCAAACACGAGGCTCGTGTTCCGCGCCCGGAGCCGGCGCAGCTCCAGCCCCGGTGCCACAGCAGCTGCGGCTGCCTGGGAGCCCCTCAGCCTCCCCAACCTCACCTGAGGGCTCCTGCATCCTCCTGGGGAGATGCTGACGTGGTGCACCACAGGAAAAAGTGCACTCTCCTGGGCCTACATATGCAACCTAGCTATCAGGACAGAGGGGGAAAACCTGGCAGAAAGAGAACTAAAAAGTCTAAAAAAAATAACATGGAGGACACAAGGAATTAAAATGTAGAGTGTACAGTGTTGCACATATTGCAGAGACAGCATTTACCTGGTCTCTCCAATGATGAGGCATGACAAGAAGTTTAATAAAAGAAAGGAGTTAGGATCTCTGGCAAGATCTCCTTCTTCTTTTTGGAATGCATTAATAGTCCAATATTTTTGTCTCCCTCATCCTCACACTTCAAAAAGTTCACATATTGCCCTAATCATTGCTGCTTTTCCAAAGGCCCTAGCCAAGCACCCAGCATTTATTTTCTGTACTTTGTGCTGCCCCTCTCTCCTCCTTTTCCTGAGTGGAGGACTGGGGATGCAGCGCAGGGATGTTTTGGGTTTGCTTTAAGAGAAGATGAAGCTGAAGAAGTGCAGATATGCTGGAGCAAACGTCCAATGGTGCCTGCAGCAGCCACTGCTGCACTGCCAGAGCTCCCCCTCACCAGCCTGCAGCAGACACTGGTGAGCATCACTGCCTAACCCACACCTTGTCCAAGATACCGGGCACCTCCTCTGTGCCTGCCAAATGGGTGCTGGCCAAATTATCCAAACATCTTATTTTGGGCTATCAGCTGGTTGGCTTAGGCCACTGTGTTGGGGTATAGTTCATTTTCTTCACAGTGGCTGCTATGGAGCTGTGGTTTGGAATTGTGCTAAACACAGGGTTGACACTGTAGAGAGGTTTTTGTTATTGCTGAGCAGGGCTTGCACAGAGCCAAGGCCTTTTCTGCTTTTCATACAGCCACAGTGTCAAGGAAATTGGGGGTGCCTGGGAGGCTGGGAGGAGACACAGCCACCATGGGTGACCCAAACTGGCCTAAGGGAAATTCCAGACCAAATGACATCATGCTCAGGATATAAAGTGAGGGGAAGAAGGAGGAAGAGGAAGACATTTGGAGTGATTGTGTTTGTTTCCTCAAGTCACCATTACACGTGATGGTGCCCTGCTCTCCTGGAGATGACTGAACACCTGCCTGCCAGTGGGAAGCAGTGTCTTAATTCCTTGTTTTACTTCATTTTTTATGTAGCTTTTGCTTTCCCTACTAAACTGTATTTATCTCAACCCATGAGTGTTCTGGCTTTCACCCTTCCAGCTTCCTCCCTGACCCCACTGGTGGGAGAGTGAGTGAGCAACTGCCTGGGGCTTGGCTGCTGGCTGGAGTTGAACCACAACAGCCACCAAATGCTGTGAGATGATCAAGGAACTTAAAATGTTTAATGTTTCCAGAGGTGTGCAGAATAAAGGGCTGTGATGTCCTTGCAGACATCTGATTTGGTGAAGACTTTTTCTGTGCTGATATCCTCAGACAGGGACATACACTGGCACTGCAGTTAGTGGGCAAGTGATTATTCTGATGATATCTGGAAACATCAGAGCACTGTGACACAACAGTATTACAACAGAAGATGGATTACATCCACATACAAAAAAAAATCCTGCTAGGAATTTACTTCCAGGCATTAGATTTTACGAAGAGGATATACTGCTTGCTTGCAGGTTTCAGACAACAAAAGTCACTCTCAGCTGTATTAATCCTTTCCTAAGGAAAGTTAACATGGGACTTTACTTAGGCAAGTTGAAATGTGAAATGAGTGAAAAGAAAATAATTCCTCTTAGCTGTCTCAAAAGCTTGAGTCCTGAATTAAAAAACAACAAGAACAACAACAAAATCTCAAACCAAAATTGGTCTCCCAAACAGATGAAAAAACCCAGAACATCAACACCAGGCATACATTAATTGGTTCATTAAACTAAATCTTCTGGGAAGACTTTTGTCTTGACTTTGATTTTTCTGCTCTGAGCAGAAACTTCAGCTTGCTGGTTACCCATCTGCTTTAGCTTTAGAGGTTTTGCTGTCCCTTGGGCTCCTGAAGCCACATGGACCAATGTGTCCCAAAGCAGCACCACAGATGCATGTGTGCGCACTGGAACTTGATGTGATGGACACCAAGGCTGTGGGAGCTGCAGGTTTTATGTGCCCTGGAGTCCAGGGCCAGCACAGGCAGGAGAGGGGCAGTGGGAACAGCCATGTGCCCCTGTCCTTTTAGCAACCCCTACCAACAAGACGGCACATGCAGGGAAGGCAGAGGATGCCTGAGGCACCTGATGGACCCTGGGAGCACTTCTGGGAGGCTTAATTAAACTGTGAGCAATGGCACATGGTCTTCCACCTTTGTCTGATCCTGGTGTGGGCTGTGGTAATTATCACTACCTCATCAGTGCTCATGAGGAGTTTGAGGATGAAGAGCAGTTCCCAACAGGTAGCACAGATGAAGACATGCTCTTCTGAGGGCAATGGGAACACTGTGAGGATGGCTATGCCAGGGGCTCTGCAAATGTTCCCTGCCTGATTTTCTTCACTGGCATGGAAAAATCCAAGGGACTGCTTTGCAGCAGCTGGAGATTGATCAGCCATGGGCACTCATTTGCAGTTTTCAGGGAGAAGCAGGTACAGCAGGAAATGTGGAGCCTTAACAACTGTGCATTTCAACTGCGCACAAAGACACGTGCAATTGCAGAAGCATTAGCATAAGACGAATGCATTTGCACCTACAAAGTGAGACCCTTTCAGTGGTACAAATGTGTCAAAAATTTATGTGAAAAATTGCAAAACAGTTAGAAAAGAAACCTGCTTTTGAAATTGCAGCTTGGGCCCTACTTCTGAAGAGCCTTTCATCTTTCCCCTGTCTTTCAATTCAGAAAGGATTCTCTCCACATTTGAGATCATCTGTCTCCTCTTTTAATAGCAGTCTAATTATGATTGTCTATTAATAATTTATAAGAATGATCAGGCCTTTCCCTTCTCCTGTGTGTGAAGATAACACACAGCATTTACAATCCCCCCTTTTTCAAGCCAGATCAATGCCCCCATCATGAAACCTCAAAATGTTAAGGAATGGTCAAGGAAGAGCTCTACAGTAGCTCTTTTTTTCCAAAAAGAATTCCAGAAAGGTTTCTTAAGAAATACATTTACTACCAATGACAAGGATAGTGATTCATAAGCCATAAAGCCTTGCAAAGTCAAGATCACACATGACAACTTTTCCATGTGTTGGGTAGCTCCCATTTTTCACCGTGTCAGTTTTCTAATGTGGATTCCGATAATGAAGAAAGTATTTCCTTAGGGGGGAGAAAATTCATCAAGATGCTGAGCTTTTTTCCCAGTGACCAATTGCATGTCATGAAAACCAAGGTCTGAAGCCAGCTGAGGACAGGAGCAGTTGGACAGGTACGGAAATCTCACTGCTTGGCAAGGTCTCAGACAATTTTTACTCACCTCTAGTGTAGTCAATACAATCTTCTCAACTGAAGAAAAATAAGCCTCCCACAAGAACTGTGTCTGCTGTCTAAGTGCTAGGATTTTATCCTGATGGATAGACCTGATTGTAGAAGGAATCTGTAATACAGGATATAATATAGTCAGAAGCTTTAGAAACAACACAATCTCATCAAATTAATATGCTGCTGACAAGCCCTCTCCTCCATTAGCAGGTTGTACAGCTTCAGCACTCCAGTCCAGTGGAGATGTGTGTCAACAGTTAAAGCCTGGATGTAAAACAAATGAGGCGCAACCCTTTATAACCTCTGATATTGAATATATTAATTTTTTAATCTGCTTTTAGTTTTTGATTGTTTATGGTAATGAGTGGTGTGTGGCATAGTAAGGAGCCCCTCCATGCAGCCCTCGTGATTTTCATCCCACAAAACTCTTCATGGACTAGTATTTTAACAACCTAGTACCTGCAGGGGCTGAGAGTTCAACAATAATCCCCACATTCCAAGTATATTAATGGGATCTGGAACTGCATTTACCACAGCATGGCAACACTAAGTGTCCTAAGGAAAACACCTTAAGTAAGTCTCCACTTAAGTAAGACTCCACTTTTTGGGAGCCCATGGATCAAATTGCACTTTAGTAATTACCTTAGATGGAAAGAATAACATCTTCCACAACATCGGTTATTCACAAGGGAAAACAGTGCTCATCTTTGCCCTTTTTCCACAATCTACACATGAATTGTTGTATAAGTCTTACAAATAAACCCTAAATAGTCCTGCTACAGCATTTTTCTATTAAGAAACTATAACTGCTCACTAGATCAGAAGGGAAGGGCTTCATGTCTACATCTCTCACCATCCCCATGTTCTTCTCAAAACTAAGATCTGTATATGCCATTTTTTAACTCAGGACATCGACCAAGGCCTCCAGTACAACTTGGACAATGCAAAGTGACATTATCAAGGGGATTTACATTATCAAGGGGATTGACATTTGCTTCAGTGATGAGAGCTACCCACAGCACTAGAAAGGCATTTAGAATATGCTGCTGCTTTGTGATCATCTTTCTCTAGAAATGAACAGTTGTGTTCACACACACAGAGCCCAGGTATTTGCTTTTAAAACTAATGACTCAGGTAAAAGATTATGAGAAGTCAGTATCTGACAAGTTGGCATAATTTAGTGGTTGGTCTCGATGAGCTTAAAGGTCTTTTCCAGCTTAAACAATTCTGTGATTTCAGTTAGAAATCACAAAAGTGAGTGATTGTGTCATTATGCATTCCAGCTTATTCTGAAGTTTGCCTGCATGCCACCCCATTCAACCCTTTCCTGATCAAAATACACTCTGCTTATTCCTAAAATATCCTGAGAAGAGCTGGCGATCATTATTTGCTTTCATGTGTTCCCAAATCAAATTATTTCCCATGAAACCTCTTTCCTGAAGAAAATTTGCAACTTTAAAAATTTACATGTAAAAAATTTTTACAAGAACCACCAAATTCTTTACTTGCAGAGTTTGCAACCAGGTCTGGACACTTTGCCCATGGCTCCACTGGGTGCAGTGTTGGATGGGCCAGTGTTTGCTCTCTCAGCCCTTCAACTCTTAGACCATCATCTTAGAGACACTAACATAATACAGAATTTGGGCTTATGAGAGAGTTAGCACTGCAGCAAGGTGGAGCAGAAGAAAATGGTCAGATTGCCCAAGATGCTGCTATATTTCCCTCCCCTATAGGCCCTTTAAGTAAAAGATAAGTCTTAAGGTAAAATACTCCCTTGCAAAAGTAAAGACAGAACCTGAAAACATGTATTGACACATGTCTAAGAGATCACATCACTATTCATGATGTGCTACAATAAGCAGAAGGATAATAAACATTACCTGTACTGGCTGCACAGATGTGTATTAGTCACACCCAGAAACATTATCAGTAGCAAAGACAAGATTAAAGTCACTTCTTAGTGGCCATACAGCATTTTCTCAATAAACATTTAATGCAGTATGTGCAACCTTGTGTAGTGTGTATGCACACATGTGTAATTCACCCATAAAATCAATACTCAATCCCCACTACATCTTATGAAAGGGAATGCTGCTCTGACTATGAAGGTTACTGCACAAAGTTATCATTTTACACACCATACCAGACTCCTGAGCACCAGCAAACACAGTGTCAAGGTTAAAAAGAGCCTTGATGGAGGCTCTGTTACAACAGCTGGAAAGAAAAATCAGAGTTCCCATTTTAAATGCATTTGCCTATTAATCTACTTGTCCAGAAAGACAGGTGGGGAAAATGATGTATTAATACAAATCCAGCATGATTACATTGGAATTATTAGAACTTTAATAAAAGGTCATTTCAGCTATGAATAGGGGGGAGGGAAAAACCACCCTGCACAAATAAATGCAGAAAAGCTCCCAGCACTATGATGAGGAGAATATGCAAATAAAAACATCCGAGTTGCTCTCAAACAGGAAATGAAAAACTGTAACATAACAAAAACATTTCCCAGAGCAGACATTCAGGCCCTCTGCCAGCTCTTTAAAAACACTGTTAATAACAGAGCAGTAGCTGTTCAATATGGAAGCAGCTGTGTGAAGTGAACGAATGGCACGTTACCGGAAAACATGAAGATCAGCAAATTATTGTTATTTAAAGAGAGACATAATTTTGCTCAGAAAAAATGTGCTGTCCACAGAAGCAAAAATCAAATGGCCCTTTTATATTTGCAGCTTGTATGACATTAAGTAGAATAGGCACTCCATGCAAGTCTTGCTAGGCCAGCTCTTCACAAATATTTACTTCCTTAGACAAGTAAACAGCCAAGTGATGACATGGCAAAGATACTTTGTTTTGGGGTGCCACCACACCTGTACCTTTGAGGGCTTCTCCCTGTGGAGGACTCTAAACTCAAGGATCAAAAAAAAAAAAAATATTGCTCTTAGTGGCTACTTTGTGCTTATTCCAGATCTTGTGGATCTCAGCCTTATGCTGGACAATGGCACTTTAGAAAAAACAATTTTCCAAGAACTTCTAACGGGAACGTTTCTGCAGAATTTACAGAATATATTTGAACTATAATACCCACTAACATAGCTAAAAAAAACAAAACAACCATACTGCATTTAAAACCAAAGCAGATGCTGGAAGTAGCAGGGAATTTGTAACTTCTCAGCCCATTTTTGTTCTATGACCTCAAGATTAACTATAAGTGACAGGAACACTGCTTCAAAAAGCAATGCTACATGGTCCACATATCAGAAAGGGGAGAGATTGTGCTTCTCATCAAATTGTTAGATGATAACTCCTGCCTGAGAAAATACCTGCTTTCCTGAGGATACCCCTGAGGATAAACTATTTTTTAAGGACTGGGGCAGAATCAACCCTCAAATGTTTTCCCATTTCATCCCAGTACCTGGACAGGTCTACCTCAGATTGGCATCCAAGTGCTCCACACCAGAAGAGGTTTCATGCTCTTCGCAAAAATAAAAATCTCCTGTACTTAAGAATTTGGCCTGGTGGCTGCAATGACCTTCAGGTCAAATAATGTCATATTAAATGAGCTCACAGCCAGCCTGACACAGACAGTCCCTTCATGATAAAAGAATCTTTTACAACCCTGACCTTTTGGATTCATCTTCCCTGTCCATTGAGATGGTGGCAGCAATGATCAAGTGAAGGCTGTGGTCTGTTCCTTACCTGTAATAACAATCTCTCATCGCCGATGATGGCAGCTTGGTTCCAATCAATCACTTCCGAGAACGGCAGCTCCCATCCATTGCTGAGCATGACCGGGACGCAGGCGGCCTGTGGGCACAGAGCTACCGTCAGCAGCAGTCCCAGCTCTCCACCAGCACCCTGACCCCCTGTCTGCACCAGCTCAGGTGAGGCAACATGGCAAAGAGCACCAGAAACCACAGCAGGGCAGCCCAAGTGTTTACAGTTTTCCATTTTGGGCTCATTCATATGCACTGAAAGGTGGGCTTTGCATGGACAGTGGCATTTGCAATCTGGTGCTTATGCTGCCAGACAAGGGCAGAACTGTTCAGTGCAGCAGATGGGACACTGGAGAATTTAATACAAAATGATGGCCTTCCTTGCTGCTTTGTGAACCACTTAGCAAGGAGCAACTTCCCCAGTTTTATGGTACGTTAGTGACAACCCTACAGAAAATACAGATCGTATTTAACTCCTCACCACCTTTCCCATGAAGGAGTAAATTCTCTATCCTGTTTGGTATCAACTTTCCAAATAGAGGCAACTGCACAAATACAACTCGTCTGTCATCACCTGTCTACAAAAAAAAGAATTGTTGTATGTCCCAAAACAAACAAAAAAAACCCATACACATTTAGTATCCATTTCTTACCAGTATGATCTGTGTAAACTAATTAAACTTTTGTGAGTTTTACCAGTTCTTCTGCACGGGCAGTTTGTGAATACTTAGCAAATTGGTCAGTATTTCCATAAACAAATAATCACCTCTATGTTCTGGTCAGCTCAATTTCAACAAGGATCCAAACCAAACACCTTCTGATGAGATGAAATAACCTAGTACCAGAGGATTTTTATCAAACCTGTGCTCTGGTTCAGTTTCTTTTGGATCAAACCAAGCTTAAGTGTTCTGAGTTTGCTCCAGACTAGGGTTCAGGCCTTCCAAAAGATGGTATAAAGGGGAATCTTTCAGACTGCTGTACCTTCCTTGGTAAGATGCATCATGCAGAGCATCTCAGACTGGTCAAGTCTACATTACAGCAGTGATTATTATGTGTAAACAACTGTGATCTTCTGTAAGGAATTACATCAATGCATAAAAAAGCCAACTAAAAACACTTAGTAATGTGTTTTCACGTTTAAAACATTGCACTAAGACTTTCAACATCACCTGGATCCAGACAGAAACTGGGAATACATCACTATTGGTGAATACTGCTGCTGGCCTGATATCAAAATCCACAGTTGCCTACATTTTATCAGTGACCAGGAGCCCACAAGTGCTGTGCAGTCAGGTACAACCCTTGCTTTCCCCTCCTGAGATGATGTATTTAACAGAAGCTGCATGACTTTGAGCCAAGATGAGAGAAGAGCTGAGGAGTGCTCTTCAGGAGGATCTGAAGTGACTTGTCATCTCATACAAGACAGTCCCACTTCCTCCTCTGAAGAGATTGGAGAGAAAACAGCACTTTTCAGGCTATTAATCTTCTCTTTAGTAGGAGAAAGAGGCAAGTGACAGTCCAGAACTTGGATCTCAAATTTGATTGCAGATGTGGGGTTCAGTGATTACACCTATGTGTCCAAGGCATGTAGGGTATCCAAAAAACCCATCAAAGGTGGGCAGACATGACACAGGATGTACTGGAGTCCTTCTGGAGAAGCAGCAGAAAGCCAGAAGTGTTTCTGGGTACTCTGCGCTTCTAAAATGACATAATACACCTACACTTAAGTACCTGAGTCCTGCTCAGCACTGCAGTGAACAACACTCTCTAGCAGTGGCTGGGACATTGTATGGTTGATGATGAAAAGGGATGGGATATCATTCACTGACAGCTTTACTGTCAATGCTGTGACACTTTCCAAATGGCAAAACAACTCCTGGAGGCAGGACCCTGCAAGGTGTGTTCATTTGCCATTTCACTGAAACCAAGCACCTCCTTCTCTCCACTCCAGCCCCTATGGAAATCCAGATGCCAGGTCCACAGGGAAGCTGCAGCTCCTCACAAAATGCTCTCTATGCCTGACTGAAGATCCAGGATTAGGCTGATGTTTGCCAAAATAAACCCTACCAGACAGGCAGAAGTTGGACTAGGCAGGGGTCAGGCTTGACCACTGTGCTGCCTGGCCACAGGAACTCCAGAGCCCTTTTGTATTGCCTTCTGTGGCTGGCCCACAGTAAAAAGGAGCACGCTAACCAATTTTTTAAAAGGTGAAGGATATTCAGGTGCTGTCCCAGACAGCACACGAACTCCCTGAGATCAGCTTATGTCTACTTTCATGTAAAGCTTCCATCTGAAGCTTTAACACCTCCAGGCCATGTTCTGTATGTTCAGCAAGCACCATCTCAAAACTGGCAATGCATAAGCAGGTCTGTTTTGGCTAAGTGAAAACAAAAAGCTATTTTCACTGCCCCAGGGCTTACATATGAAGGCCAGTGTCTCCCAGGGGAAGCCTCATAGCTTGACAAAATACTGTTCTTAACCAATCTCTCAGCCTCACCACATCCAGGGAAACCCTTTTCCTGGAGATAGAGCAATCCAACCTTCAGATGAGTTCAGTGCCTCAGCCCCTCCTGGGAAGAAGCTGCCAATTGCTCCAGAAGTATGAATAGAGGCTTTTGCAAAGTGGATTACTGTCCACTAGGGAAATGAAACACATTTCCCTCCTCCCCCCCTCCCTGCTATTGCACACTGAATCACAGCCAGCGAAGTCACTGCTTTAAACTGCAGCTCTTACCTGCAAGGCTTCCAAAAACCTGAAAGAGCCAAGCCTGCGGCCACGGGGAACCAGACAGAAAGTGGCATTGTGCAGCATTTCACGGTAATCATACCTAACAAGAACAGGGCAGAAAAGAGAAAATTCAATTAGCAGTGAGTCCTAGAGTAACTGGGTGTGAAAATGCAAACAGCTGTTGAGACACATCTGGATAAAATCATCCCCAACCCAGACTGTTCAGCACCAGGTTAACTGACTCCCTCCATGCATGTCAGCCTCCTCCCTGGCTCCTTTTTGCTCATCCTCAGGAGCAAGCAACTTGGGAGAATGCTGGGGAGAGTGGTAATGAGATTGATAAGGAAGGAAGTAATTTTGCCTTCGCAATAATGAGCCAGTTCTGTATAAACAGTGCACGACTTCCAAGAACAAACTCACATTAAATATTTTGATACTCAAAACATTGTTGTAGTACTTCTGTGACCCTGATTTCTATTCAGATTCAGTCAAAACCATGCATAACTGTGTTCACAAGAGGTTTTACAAAGCAAAAAAATATTCAAGCTATGCCAAAGAAATATTTCCTTATCAAGCAGGCACTAAAAAAGGGATGGGGGGATACAATGACTCACTTGGTGGTTATTGTTAAGTGTGGAGAGAGGAATATATGACCAGATTTTGGCAATTAATCACATAGCTGGAATGATCCTGCTTCTCTGAACTAAAGTGCTGATAGACACTTCGGGGGTTTTTTTCCCAATTACATCAACCACCACAAAATCATTCACCAAAACCACACATCAAATGCCAACAGCTTCCCGCCTGTTATTAGCAAATTGTACTTCTGACAAACCCATGGCACTGTCAATGGCATTGACCTTGTCTGGGTCAAAAAGATCCAGATTGAACACCCTCCACTCTCCAGAATGTCCTGGACTCTGCACATGGGCGCTATTGTGACAGCAACTTGTCGCAATGAATTTTTTTGACACCAATAGTCTAATTTCACCATGTCCTGCAGGCAGAGCAATTTTTTTTGTATGTGTGTCTATGTGCACACATATACATATATATATATGATTGTATTTTACATATAAAGAAGTCAGGATCTATGTTTGTATTCTCACACAGGCCAGACAGATGGGAGTAAGCCAATTTTCAATTATAAGCTCTGTCTTTAGGAAGAGACATCTTGCAAAGGCCCATTTGCTTAAACAAGCGTGTATAGCTAATTTGCACAAGAAAAGGTCACTGTGAATGGATTATCTCCACTGAGAGTAAAATAAAACCCCTCATTGCATTAATTAAAACTACAAAACAGACTTCAAAGTCCCTTTTTTCTTTTGAATCCTATCTCAACTTTGGTTAAAATACATATATACATATTCTATCTGAATGGCAGCTATTTTTTTTTCTCTGTGTGGGATTGAGATTGGCAGCCATGTCCCAGCTCACCAGTCAGCACTGATACAGCATACAGGAAAAAAAATACTAGAACTGGAATACAAAACCCCCAAATTTTTAAAAAAGTTGCCATTTTTAAGCACTTCTTTTTTACATATTGAGAGGTCTGAGGCTCATTGCTTTTACTGTGTATTGTAGGACAACAAAATTAATAAATACCAAAAATAGAATACCCTATAGGGCTAGAATACACCAGGCAGAAGTTCCCAATCATTGGCTAGATAAAAAAGTAAAATCCTGTTAATACCCTGGAATGCAACATTATCCACAAAACATTGATGGCAAAACCAGAACAGAAAGGAAAGCAGAGAGTAAGGTCACTGCAAGTGAGTCTTTCATATCCCAGTGGCATCCTATACGGGACACCTTTTCTTTCATATCTAACTTGCTGGTATTAGGATAGATTTAGAAAGGGAAAAAAAAAATAAGAGGATTTTGTTAACCATTTTCCACCTCAAAAAACCTCAATTTTCCACCAGTTAGCATCTTGCTCCTATTTTTGAGCCTTTTAAAACTTAACGTGTGATTTATTGCAGAGGTCTGTAATAGCACAGTTCCTGGTCATCAAGCAATTTATCTACATCATAAGTACACAGAAAGCCCCATCCTAACTTTGTATGGGCACAAAATAACTACTTGCTTCAGGGAGGATCCACAAAAACAGAAGGAACAGATCCAGAGTAAAGTAATATCCATCAAGAGCTGCTGAAGTGAACGAATCGCAGCAGAGATTCTATTGAACAAATTTCCCTGCAATTTCAACCAAAATGCTTTAAGGTCACTCAATGGGATCTTTAAGCTCAGTGATAAGGGACCAATGCCCACTTTAAACCCCTCAGAGACCACTCTGGGATCAAGTATCTATTTGAAATCTGCAAACATGAGGTACTATTTCTACTCCTAAGAGTCCATGGGTAGCATGCCAAGCAAAGGGAGCACTCTGCCTTAACTGGAAGACAGAAGATGGCCCACTATGTTTAAATACAAATTTGGGAACACTTTTTGTGCAATACATGTAACCAGCCCCAAACATTTCTGTCAGGCTGCAAGCGTAGCTCTCTAACTGGAGGCATTGCTTACAGAGGAAATAATGTACAGGTACCAAACAGTATTTCAGAGTAAAACTTGCAGCAGAGACCATTTCATTTTTTTTTTTTTTTTGGACTGCCAGGCAGCATTTGGAAGAGACCTTTGCCACAAAAAGACATCACTTGGTAAATGAAACTCCAGCCCACAGGCCATGGTGAGGACAGAAGGCTCAGGGCAATTTTCACTTTCAGACTCCTTCCCATTCAGCCCAGAGAGAACCATGCACACAGCAGCAGATGTGATTTTTGCCAGCATTCTGACAGGAACTGCAAAATGTTTATGTACATTTTTCACCACATAGTAGAACACATAAAGCATTACACCTGAAAGCATCTCTGTGCTCTCCTTAACTCAGACTTAAAATACTTTCAGTGAAGTGAGTGCAATTATCTCTATGATTAAGGGTAAGTATCTGAATTAAGTGATTGCTGGACTTGAAATTTCTCCTTCACTTGTCCAGGAGAGAAATCAGAGCTGGTACAGACTTCCAGGAACACCCTCTCAGTTAGACTACTGATGTTGTACAGTAAGTACCAATCTGGCATTTAATGCAAATATCAGTACCACATCAACAACAGCCTTTATTTCCCCATTATCTCCACTGACTAATCTCAGCAAAACCTCAGGGAGGCAATCAAGAATGAGAACTTCCACTTGCAACTGGAGAAGCATCCTAAGCTATAGAGAAAACAGTCAAGTGTTTAGAAGAGGTTCCCTCAGGGTTTCCTCTTATTCTTCTCCCCAGCAATGGGGGTTAGATCTGTTTCCAGAACTACTTATTACCATTAGCTGGTAACATCTGAAGATGGCAGGGACATTTGTTATGGTCTTCCAGCTTGCATTGCTGTGGTTTCTGCAAACTTGGAACTGCCAGCGTGTGTGGACAGCTCTCCTTTACCTGCCTACAGGGGTAAAGGAGACCTGCCTACCCTCTTTTTTTACCCAGCTGTGGAGGTTTTTCTGGCTCCAGAAAATGAGAGCAAAGACCAGCACTGCAGAGCACTGAGCAGGGGCTGGCTGGGCACTTCCTCCTTACTCGTGCTGCTTTGGTGTTGCACTACTTCTGGCACTTTCCTTTCCTCCTGGCAGTTTATCTTCCCTAGCATTTACTGTAGAAAAGCTTTTAGAGGAGTCCTCTGCTTTGCTCAGAAGGTATTTATTTCCAGAAAGCTCCAGGTTTCCACATTAGAAGACTGGCGGGGAGTTGGGGCACATGCTCATTGCTCATACATTCCTGATCTCTTCATTCTGCACGCTTGCACAGAGGTAACATTTTACTGCCAATTTTAGGGTCGGCTTGGCCTGGGTCTCAGCTGCAGCATTCAAATGTTAAAATCCGAAATGCATATGCCTTAAAAATGACAGTTGGGTCTTCAAAACTAAAATAGCTAAAGATTTAATCCAAAGCTGGCATCCCTCTGTAAGTATTAGAGGCAGGTTTTATTAACTTTCAGGCTTCTTTTCATAATGATTAAGTGTACCTTGTTCACAGCTAGTACCATTTTAGGCAGCATAAAAGAATAGCTCTATTTGCAATCAATTCTAATTTATTCACAACTTAATTGAATTATTCCCTCCCTGCCACCACCCATAGTTGAGGAAATATGTCTGGCCCCATCGATCACCCAGGTGTAAACACTGCAGTGCTGTGTGGGCAATTATCCAAAGGAGAAACACTGCCTGGCCAAAGGCTCCTACCATTTTAACTCCTTGATCCAACACACAGCTTCTGTCTTCCCCCATCCCCCTTTCTTCTTTTTTTTCTTCTGATGTGCCGACCATGTCAATCAGCACATGGATTAGAAGGCTGTTTGGCATTCCTGGTTCTCCATTATCCCAAAGAGCCCTGGCAGGCTGCAGAAGCTCTGCATTGACTAATCAGCCATGCCATACATTCTTTCCTACAGCTTAAGCATTTCCCCATGTCACTACACTGTAGAGCTTATAAACTAGCCTGGAAAATATTTTCACTATCAATTTTAGTATAAACTAATTTTTTTGAAAGTCACTTCTTTATCACCACTGATTGAAGAGAGGTCTAAAATCTAAAAAGACTGTTTAGACGAGCTGATATGTATAGATGCAGTGATTATCATAACACTTTATCTAGATGTATGTCACCTGTCATGTAGTCAACATGCTTTTTGACAGGACACAATCGCCATTCCTGTTTCATAGATGAAACCTGAGACACAAATGACTGGTGGCTTCTCCAGCAGCTAGAGGGACCTTGAGAATGCTAACCACAGCACTGACCTTACTTCTTCCTCTCTGGTGATGCAGCATTCACTGAAATCCAGCTGCATGTTATGGTTATTAAAATTCAGATGGAAATACAGGAGCAGAACCCAAGCCAAATACAGGTTTAACTCAAATCAAATGCAATGGGTTTAACCCAGCAGTACATATTTTAACAGTGCCACACATAATCCATCTTTTGGAAGATGCTGGAGCTCATCTTTGGCAGGGACTATCAGCACATTCCGCTGTAGTCAGATGCGACTAGAACTGCTTTTTTACTTCCTGAGCCAAAAAATTGTGATGGCACTTAACCAACTATGTCCA